GGGTAAGTATCTCTAGCCAATGGATTGAGGCATGGTCTTACCAATAGAAAGCAGTGAGTACCATTATGATAGTGAATCTGACGGGGATTAGTCACTAGATGGCGTTTCCCAAGGATCAGTTTTAGGCCTCTCTTGTTCATAATTTACATTAATGACCTTGGATGAAGGGAATACGAGGATATGAGTAATTTTGCTGTGATACAGACCAATAGCACTAACATCCCATATCATAAAAATCTTTGAAAAGGATCCTAAGAACGCAAGATCACACCAATCTAGAAACCATCAGTTACAAAACCCAGGGCAAACAACATGGGTTAGAACAGGTCGCTCCTGTCTGTCTCAACTAATTTGGATCACCACGACAAGGTCCTAAATGCACTAGAAGGACAAAAAGAATGCAGATGTAATTTATACTAAACTTTGCAATGAAGCCTTCGACAAGTGTGTCCATGGCGTAAATTAGGCAACAAAATGCGTGGTTGCTAAAGGAAATAAAAAGGAAAAGTCGGAGACGATTGGATCCTATAATTTCCTCACTAACAGAACACAGAGAGTAGTCGTCAACAGAGTTAAAGTCCGAGGCAGCTACGGTGAAAAAGCTTTCTGTTTCCACAAGGACAGTACTAGCTCCCAATTCTTGTTCCTCATCCTCATATCGACATAGACAAAGGAGGTCAGCCACAGCACCGTGTCTTTCCTTTGCAGATGACACCCGAAATCTGCATGCAGTGTCTTCCATTGCAGCACTGCAAGGCTCCAGTGCGGACCATCACCAAATTTTCAGTGGGCTGCAGAAACACAAATGAAGTTCAACGATTGAGAATTTACAATTACTACAGATATGGTAAAATGAGGAAATTAAAATCTTCATCAGAGTACAAAACAAATTCCTGGCCACAAAATAGAGCGAAAACACCAACGTCAAGGACCCTGGGAAGTGATTATGTCGGAGGATCTCCACCTTCAAGGACCATAAACATTGTAGCAATTGCATTCCGCTAGAAACTTGACTGGATGGTATGAGAACCTTCAAAAACCTAGGGTGGCCAATCCCAATGATGACACTCTTAAGGTCACTTGTTCTATCTAGGTGGTATTTTGCTGCACACTAACAGCACCTTCCAAGGCGGTGAAATGGCCGACCTAGAAAAATGTACAGAGGAACTTTCACGAGCGGCATAACGGAGGATAAAACACCTCAATTACTGGGAGCGCTTGATGCGTTCCTAAACTGTATTCCCTGGAAGCAGGAGGAGAGATTACATGATTATATAACCACCTGGAAAATACTGAGGGATTAGAGTTACCGATCTTGCCACACGGGAAAATCACTCACTACTGAAAAGGAAAAAGACTTGGCAGATGTTGCACCATCCCCCCAATGAAAAGCAGGGGTGTCACTCGCACGTTAAGAGACATACTATAAGATGTCAGGGGCCCTGAGACTGTTCACTTTGCCTCCCAGCACACATAAGGGGGGATTCCCAACAGACCCTGACAGTCTTCAAGATGGCACTGGACAAAAGCACTAAAGTCAGTTCCTGATCAGCCGGGCTGTAGCTCGTTATGTTGGGTGTGCGTTGCAGGCCAGCAGGAACAGCCTGGTTGATCAGGCTCTGATCCCCAGGAAGCTTGGTCACCGACCGGGACGCGGGGGCGTTGACCCTCCGGGAATCTCTCCAGGTAAACTCAGGTTTACAAAGATAGGCGTATTAATTCACTCTGAGGAGGTATACATGAACCTCCGGACGATTTGGACAAATTTATGTCTTGGTCTGAAAATTGGCAAGAATGAAGTTCAATGTGGTAAGTGTAAGGTACTTACCCTTGGTAATGAAAATACCCTTCGAAGCTATAATCGAGGGGAAGTAGAGCTTGATCATTCAGAATGTGAAAAAGACATGGGAGTCTTGTAAGCAGAAATTAAGCCAAGACAGCTGTGCCTTAGTGTGCGCAAAAAGGCCAAACTGAGCTTACTTGGATTTATCTAAGAAGTTATAAGTATAACAGAAAAGTCCAAAAAAGTTATTTTACTCAGCTCTATACATCACTAGTGAGGGCCCTCATTTGGATATGCTGCTCAGTTTGGTCCCTAATTCAGGAAGGATATAGGATCATTATAGAACATACAGAGAAGTATGATAAAATGGATTTACTGTGTAAGAACCTCCCGTATGGAAGATTGACTCAAAGCCTTAAATCTCCCTCTCTGGAGAGGCGTTAGGATGAAGGAGATATCATTGAAGTGTGCATTATAGTAAATCTGTTTACATTAATGGTTTTATCACTGATTATCTCATTGCTAGTAATATTAAGTTAATTTTAAGCCAAGCCCGTTAATGCATGCATAGTATAAGTGGGGCTTTGGCATACTGCTCTTATCTGTAATTTTTTGTACCTCTGTATGTGTGCCTCAAATGGTTTAATAAAAAAAAAAAAAAAAAAGCTGGATGAGGGCATAAAACAAGTGAGGGATATTAATAAAGTACTGAGGGTGTCGAACCAGTAAGATAACCAGGAATAATGGATTTAAGTTTGGATTAAATTTAGAATTTAGTAGGACATAGGGTAAGTACTGGTTTTCTAACAGAGTTGTAGACGCGGTGGAAACAGTCCTTCCCAGTGGGAGGATAGAGGCTAGGACCTTGGGTAGCTGTCAGAAGAGACTGGAAATATATGAGTGGGAAGGGCTGGGTTTGATTTGGTGTTATTAGGTACGGGAGTTGTTTCCAGGGAAGCTTTAGGTTGTAGTCGTTTTGATATATGGACCTGTCTGCATGGGCAGTAGGCTTCTGCGGTGTTTCCTCCATTTCTTATGTTCTTATGAGTGGATTTGGGTGGGAAGTGAGTTGGACCTGATAGCTTGTGCTACCAGGTCGTTTGCCGTGTTCTCCCTTAAGTCCATGTGACCTGACTGACTGGGTTGGCGGTGTGTGCATTGGCTTAAGGCCAGTAGGGAGAACTTGGTCCTGCCCTCGGTCTATGGGCCAGTAGGCCTGATGCGTTGTTCCTGCGTTTGTTCTTATGTTCTCTACAGAGTTGAGGATGCCGTGGAACAATCTTCCCAGTTGGGTGACAGATATTGTTTCCAGACTATGGAATAATGCTCTTCTCCAGACTGATGGACTGACACCTCAAAACTTTAAGGGTTTTTGATGGACTGATTACATAGTCTTCAAGTCTCTTACTGCTGCTATCAGCTTTTCTGTACTCGGGATGAAAGAAGCCTACTGTGTAGGCGAAACAGTTTCGAAATAAAGATACCTAACTGTTGATATGTGTCTTACCTAACAAAAGGGTGATAGAGGCTAGGAATTGGTAGCTTTTAAAAGAGATGGACAAAATATATGAGTGGGACTGGGGTGGGTTTGACTGGTGTCATTGGGTATGGGAGTTAATTCTTGGGTAGTTTGGGTACTGGTTACCTGGAGGTTATTCCAGGGGATCAATGCCCCACGGCCCCATCCATGACCAGGCCTCCCGGTGAATCAGGCCCGATCAACCAGGCTGTTACTGCTGGGCGCACGCAGTCCAACGTACAAGCGGGCACAGCCTGGCTGATCCGGCACTGACTGTAGGATCTGCCGCTCTCTCTTGAAGGCAGCCTGGGGTTTTTAATGGTATTCCCTAATGCTTGATGGAGGCTGTGAACAGGTCTTGGGCCCAGGACACTTATGGTGTTTTCTCTAGAGTACCAGTGGCGCCCTACTTTTAATGGGGGTATTTTGCCATCGCCTGCCCAGTCTTTTACTTTCGATTGGGAGTGATTTCTGCGTGCAGATTCGGTGTCAATTCCTTCCAGGATTTTTCAAGTGTTAGATTATATTATCTCTCTCTCTTGCGTTCCAACGAGTACAAGTCAAGTGCTTCATTATTATTATTATTATATTCAAGGGGGAAGAGCTAAACCCGGGGATTTTACAGCACCTGGGGGGGGGGGATGTGGAAGGCATTCAGGTTAATTTGGGGGAATGAGCACTGGATTCCAATTTCTAAATCAAGAGCCCTCACCAACATCAAGGAACCTTCCTTGAGGGGAAGTGCTTCAAAGCATTACCAGTTGTTAGGTGCTTGACAGAACTTATACGTGCTGTAAAGGATCTCTGTACACTCTTAGATCTGCCATTTTCACCTGCTTTGAATGAAAACGGAGATGTTAAGAGGTTGTTTTGGATTAGGGCCTGTCTTGCATGCACCAGAGGCCTTCTGCAGTGTTCCTCCATTCATATGTTCTTGTCAATTGGTTATGGTTAACCCCTGAAGGTTTCTCCTCAGGCTGGGGAGAGTCTTCGCTGACTCTCTACAAAAATGGTATAGTGGGGTGGTATAAACCTTGGTAATAAAATCACGACAAGTTGGTTTAGAAAAGGCACGTAAGCAAAACACTAGACATATTTATTAGGAAAACGTTTCGTCTGGGACCTTGATCATTATAACTACAGAGGTAGAAAGACATTTAATATACAGTGGACCCCGGTTAACGATATTTTTTCCTCCAGAAGTATGTTCAAGTCGCCAGTACTGAACGAATTTGTTCCATAAGAATTATTGTGAAATAGATTAGTCCATTTCAGACCCCCAAAAACATACACGTACAAATGCACTTACATAAATACATCTTACATAATGGGCGCATTCGGTAGGTTAACGTTATGCGGGGGTCCACTGTATAGCGGAGAGTGCGGTGTGACGAACTTATACCGTGAGTAAAGGATTCTCTGTACACTCTCTAGATCTGCAATTTCACCTGCTTTGATGGAGATGTAGAGGTTGTTTTGATACGGACCTGCCTTGCATGGGGCAGTAGGCCTTGTCTGCAGTGTCCATCCTGTCTTTGTTCTTATCACACTTGGTTATGGTTAACCTGAAGGTTTCTCCTCAGGCTGGGGGGGAGTCTTAGCTGACTCTCTACAAAAATGGATATTTATCGTGGTAGACGAAGGCGGCTTCCGCAACTGTGAGGCTGTTAAACACGGCATTTCCTGCAGGTATCCTAGATGGCTTCTTCCCTAGTTGAGCTCAGGATAACATTTCCTCAGGGCATCCTTTTAAGGTAGGTCCTGAATATTTGAATTGTAGAATGGTATGTTTTTCATGAAAAAGTTTTAATAGTACAAAAAGGGGGAAAAATATCATCAACTTAAGTTAACTGTGGATTGTTTTGGGGAATGTCTTGATATCATTGATTTATATATTAAATCAATGAGAATGTGTCAGAGAAGTATAATTTCATCGTAGTATTCTGTAGCGACAAAACAGTTGAAGGAGACATCATATGTGCAACACCTGGCTATCTATATTTATGGAGTGTTTTCAACAACTCAATGGTTTTTTCAGCTTCTAGCTGGTAGTGAAAGAGGCAGTAAATCTGTCTCTCAGTTTGTTAGGTGTTAAACCCTTTAGTTTGATAAACTAAGTCAGATGAATGAGAATGGGAGACTCATTACTGGAGCCAGAAGAGAGGTGCAGCAGGTTAATGCAGCAGTTTAAAGACATCGTCACAAATGAGAGGGACCTAACAGTGGAAGTAGGGTATCGCCCAAGAAATTTGGGACAAAGTAAACAGTAGATCATCTGCAGCCAATCTTTGTGTTCAATGGTCTCAGAGATCCGACATGTTGATAAAATTAGAATGTGCAACTCCTTGGGTATCTTTGATTGAGGTAACATTTCGCCACACAGTGGTGAAAGGATGAAGCACTGTGTGGCGAAATGTTTCCTCTATAACGTCCAGGGTTATCAACACCCTTTGCAAAACCTTTAGCCTAAAATTTGGGCACTGTGACGGTGTCTGTAATGTTGCACTCTCTTTTGGTCCAGTATACCAAGCTCTTTGCAGGTAATATTCTTTAGTATGCTCAAGACTTAAGGGGACTGAAAGAAAACCATCTACACAGGAGAGGGACTGTTTAACTTTCTCTCCACTTATACAAATTTCCTCCACTACAATATATCTATTGAATGACAAGCATTGATTGCAAAACATCTTTATAAATAAAGATACCCAGGTGCTACACATGTCTTTTTATGATTGATTGTCTGAAGCAAGTTTAATATAATTAAGGTGTCTGCAGATAAGCCTATTATTATTATATTCTGTCTTGTAGGGTCGTGACAAGCGGCAAGTGAATATTTCTGCCTAACTCTTCTAAACGTAAAGGGAGCGATACGTCCCACCAGTTCCTCTAAGCCAGAATCCCTCCACTGACTCATTGCCCACTATGTCCTCCTTCACATCAGTGACCTTCTACGCTCTTCAGCAGCGTTCTGAGGCTGAGACAAGACTGTGGAGGCCCTTGTTCCAGTTAGGAAACTAGTGACACAGTGCGCTCTCCCACCATCCCTCCACCAGAAACATCAGGGAGACACTTCGCGCCTGTGTCAGAGATGGATTATCGAAAGCGAATCAAGTGATTGGCCAGCAGGTCGTCGTAACTCCTTCAGCGTGGCAGTGGACAAGTCTGAAGGTGAAGGGGTTGGGAGGGTTGAAGAGCAGCCATCGAGGGAGTGAGGTGTGGAGGCATGCTGAAGGTGCCTACTGTTCCTGCTATCACGGCTGTCCGGCGTGGACAGTCGCAGAGAGAGTGAATCACGTCGGTTGGATCTGACCACGCACACGATCTAGGTCGTCTGGTTCAGAAGTGTCTACCGTAGCGTGATTAGCATAGATCGAACTTGACTTGACCTAGGTCGGTCGTGCTACTCCTCTAACATTCCCCTTGATGGCACCGCATCAACCGCACTGCTTTTCTTCTGAATGATTGACACATTGATTCCAATGGCAGCCATCGTTTAGGGAAGTTTTGGGAGTGTGTGTGCTGACCCTTATGATATGGACAATCTTAGGAAAAAGACGAAACATCAGTAGAGGCCTTTCTTAGCCAACGTTCACACCTGCGTCGTCAAGATATGGCAAGATTGTAAATGAGAGAGGTAGTGGCTGACCCATGCTCATGGTAAGTCCCCAATATATTACTCTAAATGAAGTGACAAACACCATATATGCTCATTCCAGTACATAAGGTGGTGGAGCAAAAACATACCACGGGCGGGAAAAGACCCGTGATCAGAGGAGTCTCAAAACTCTAGACCGTCGCCGTGGGTTTGGTTTGTTTTCAATTGCGTCATTCGATTTGTGAGTCAGGTGGTGGTGGGCTCGATCCCAAGCCACTAAACAGAATGCTCATAGCTATACTCACTAACAGAGATAAGTTGTGGAATCAATCGCATCATGTAACTTTATGATAATCATTGTGACTCTTTTTGTTTAAGCATACTTGCTTTAATAGTTTTTGCAGATAAGAAAAATTGAGCCCCTTTGTGAAAAAAGTATACAATATGATATGGTTAGAGTGAAATGCAGTCCTTTGTATATGATACAACAAGGATAATAATATGCACAGTGGAATTCACATACTAATAATTTAATAATCTTTATTTCTACAAGTTCGTGACACTTCCATTACAGACCTAGCTGACATTGGACATTACTGTATAAAAAAGCCCTTGATTATGCAGAGCTTATTTGGCAATTTAGGTTACTTGTCTCACAAAAATTGACCCACAACAGGTCCATCTAACAACCCCAGGTACCTATTTATTGTTAGGGGAACAGGGGCCAGCAGGGTGTAAGGAAAATTGCCCCAACATTTCACCTGTGCCAGGATCAATCCCTGAACTGTTTGTGAGCTGAGGACACTCTCAGCTACTATAAAACTGAAGGACACGTGACTTAAGCCTACGGTATGGAAAAAAATATTATGACAAAAACTACCGATGGGCTGTGACAGTTATTCGACTGTATACTTAAGAATTTAAAGAGTTCGAGGGGAAGATAAATATTTAGTATTAATATGGGTAAGTGCATAATTTCTTATTGATTTTGGGAGAGGTGGAATGTTGTACTAACCTTTATGATGTTCATTGTTTATGACAGAGTGGGATGTTGAGAAAGCTGGAAGGAAGGGAGAGAGCCTGAATTAGATTGTGGTATGTACACTTACAGTGTGCATTTCTGTACACTTTAATTTAACAAAGGAGATGTTATTTCATAGTTAATTTAATAAATGTCTTATGGTATTATTAATTCAGTGGGTGGTTTTAATTGGCACAATAGTGAATAAAATTTAAGATAAATAAGCTAATTAGTTTTATGTTTTATAAATGGTAATATTGGATGAAAATTTGTGTGGACTGCCTTCCGAGAGAGTCACTACCCTGCAAACTCTGTTGACACCGAGGTCTGAGGTCGGTACCTCTAGCCTACAAGTGGATTATAGGACAGATTTTCACAATGATTGGATGTTGCAAGGAAACTCGTGTATGCACGTATAAAGGACTAACTTTTCGTGGTTGTTGCAGCAAATTTCTTGATCTTCTACCTTATAAGCATAGCCCCTTTGGACTTCCCTCAGAAACACGTGCAACGGGAGGGTGATTTCCTGCAATATTTCAGTCGTTATTAGTGACCTGCCGCACCTCAGACTTTACTTTTCCAAGGGTGGTGTGTATCCCCTAGTACATATGCCGTCACAGCACTAGCTCTAGGTAGACAAGAGACACTGGATACGTTACTGGGCATGCACGCCAGTTGATACAGGCCTATCTGTTCAACTCACAATTTTTTCCAGACACAGGCTCAGAAATCCTAAGAGAAAGTGGAAGGTTTTGTCTTACTTATGGGTCTGACGAAGGAGGTCATCTACGGTACATCGAGGTGCCTCACCAGATTTCCCAGGGTCTCTAATGTGAAGAACACGTGGGGGGCGCCATTCCTGATCACGGCATGTGTTGTCCAGTTGGATGTCTGTCTTCAGAAGAACGAGCTGATGTCTTCCCGACCACTCGTCTCTTTGTTCATACTAGGGCTCTGCCAGATTCTCCTAGCTAACTTAACCTAGTGTTTGCTACATTATCGGCTATTACTACCTATGTTAAAGGCTTACGGTCTACATTTTATTATCTACAGTTGCCTTAGTAAACCTAATATTAATATACTAACAGTTTAAAACTACTACTCCTTCCTGAAGGGGTAAATATTAAATTCAATTAGGTGCCTACCATCAATCCACGGCCAAGCTCGAAGAGAAATGAGTTTATGCTCGGTGTTGGGTTTGTTAAGGGCCCTCGATCGGTTGTGTTTTGTTTTGGGGTGGGGTTTTTAAGGGCCATCGAAACGGTTTGTTTTTGTCCGTTGGGGACTTCTCGACCGAATAAGTTCCAACAAATATGCCAATAAGGATTTGGAATATATTTACCCCAAGTCAGTTAAATAACCCAAGTCAGTCTGTGTTTAATACATGATGAAAAGTTGCAGTGAGCCTGCCTTTTAGTATATAGGTGGAGTACTTTCTTGTAATATGATTGTTGAGAGATTTCTTTGGTATATATAACAACTGGTTACCTTTTATTTACACTGACTTCGGAGTGTATGGTGAAGCTGCCGTTGTTGTGTTTTAATTGTTATTCGAAACAGCGATCAGGCTGAATTCGAGGCACTGCGTCTGGGAAATTAGTTTCTTTGATCACTAATTGGGCGTCTCTGAATTTCATGAGATGATTGGGAGGAATTTCGGTGTTGTACACAGTCGTTGGTAGGTTATCGTTCCTACATGCGTAAATGTGTTCATTGAGGCGGGGTGTCCGAGGTTCTGCTGTTTTCACTACGTAAATCTTGTCACAGCCCTCCACAGGGTAAGTGTAAACTCCTGCATTGGTGGTTCGTGGTGCTTGGATTTTGTCCTGGTTATATCCTTTATTGAAGTGCTAGAAAAGCGGATGGCTGTCCTCTGGTGTTAGCTTGTGAAAGTACTTTTGAGAGTTGAGTGCAACCTGGGACTTTGGGAAAGAATTATAACTTTGCTGGGAGTGGTGTTGATGCGTGAGAATTTATGATCTGAAGAGTCTTTTCTTGCAGTCTTTGATGAAAAAAGAAGGAAAAATGTAACTCTGTGGAATGGTTGGGGAATGTATGTCACTCCTCGTAGAAAATCGGAATACAAATTCTGTTGCTCTTAGGAAAAACCCGCTGATGATCTCTTTTGGTCTTGGTAA